AACAGTCAGTGACATTTGTTCTGATATCTGTAGCTTTAGCAGAATTCTGCGCCGAATTTGAATGCTTCTCACAAGATTTCACAGAGATGTTACTGATTCTGCAGTGAATTCGACTGCTTTCTTCACTGTATCTCCCAGAGCTGTGTATAACGGTGTCGCTTGATCGAGATCAGATAAACTGAGCAGATAAACGGTCTGCGCTGCGTAGCCCAAACGAGTAACGCGGATTCGTTCCGCTTTCGGTTCGTTTATCCGATGTAGCTCTTGTAAATCGGTCATGATGAGAATGCAAGGCTGTTCATTCCATTTTTTTAACCTTTATTTGACTGAATGTGCGTTGCGATGACGTCACAGGATGCGTCTGGGCCCAAAATCTGCGGCAATTACAAAAATTTGGGAGCTCTTGCGAAAATTGCGGAGTTTGCTTGATTTTGTGACAAATTCAGCGATCACAGAATCCTGGAGGGACTGATTAGTTTCTAATACATGTAACACAAGTCATGAGATGCAGCACAGAAATCACATATTGAATCATATACAATATTGTAGTAGCTACATTGGTCCGCATCAGTGAAAGAACACAGATGTTAAAGAACCGTTAACAGAAATAGTTATATTAGCTTTATGAGCTGTTTAATTTGACAGTTACAGCCAAAAACTGTTACAATCACGTGCCAAGGTACACATGTGGTTTCTTGACCAAAAGACAAAAACATGGTAACTGCAACGAAATCTCAAAAACCCTCTCTCACAAAAAGCTTCTCCTTGGAGCAATTACACAATGACATTCCTGGTGGTGACGGCATGCTGGAGTAATGGACACGGTGTTCCGCATGGAATAACATCCATCCGGGAAAGAGCTGAGGCAGGGAAGCTGTCTCACCCCACTCCCATGATGACATGAAAGAGAATGCGAGTCCTGTCTGCATCCATGTGAAGTTTATCTCTCTTCCTGTCTTTCATCACTGTGGTTATTAAACCTCCATCCCCAGAGCTCGCCGATGTCTAATTACACCAACGGTAAACAAAAGGAGGGTTGAGGGAGGGGGAGATGAAAAACCTCAGCTGGACAGTGCCGTGTTATTATAATTCTTTAAGCGATACTGTTAACGTGGTCAGGCATTTTAGGCCAGCACCTAATAACAGTTTGGAGGTAATTACAGGTCTAGCGCTGGGGCGGCACATACTGAGCTGAGCTAGACGCTTGTTAACTTCCCTCAGGCCAAAGGCCGGCGAGTTCCCCCCGCACCTCTAGCTGAGCATTAGTGCTTAATGTGTTGTTTTGTTTTCACAGATCGCCAAAGCTTAAGAAATAGTGTCAGACCTCTAATCACACGTTAATGCGCTTTGCCTGAATTGGAAGCTCATAGAGACAGAGATAATTTTCAAAGTGTGAATCTCCCAAAACCTTTCAAGAGCATGTCAGGGTCATATTTCAGCCCAGATTCAAAAGAATGAAAAAAAAAGAAGAACCTAAATGTCCCGACAGACAACATATACTTGATAAGGGTATGTTTTTAATTAATACATTTCCACCAATCATCATATCAGTGTTATTTTAGTATTTTTCTAATACTATTTTAGAATTTATTAAGATTTTGAATTAGCTTTTATTTTTTTATTTTAATTTTAGTTTTAGTAATTTTGTCATGAGCTTTTGTCATTTTAAATATGTAGCTTTAATTGATTTTTATTTCAGTTTTAGTTTAATTTTATTTATTTATTTATTACAACTCATTATGGGTTCACTTTTTCACAAATATTATATATATTTTATATAAAATGTATTACATTTTAAATATACCATAATTGTTGTCATAATTAGTTATCATAAACTGTCATGAAAATTGTCAAAATGCAAACTAATGTTAAATAGTATTATTTAAAATGTGTTATTAACTTTTATCTTGACTCTAAAATCGACACATTTTCATGAAATTCATTCCAAAAGTTATTTCATCAGAGCGCTTATAACCTTGTGCACTTGTGTCTCTCAATATGGGTCAAGATGCAGCGCTCACAGGCTGTCTTCTCGAAAGCTTTGATAAGGGTGTTTTTATATTGGAACCATATGCACTCTCAGCACTGCCACAAGGGGATGGCTGTCACAACGGCCTCGCAACTTCCTGCTCCAAATCTAAATATTTACACTCCAGACATCCCAAGTCGTGCCAAGGAGAGGGGTTGATGTTTTGGGTTACATAAAGTCCAATCCTTCAGAACAAATTAAGCAGATTTTCCTCATTAGACTGGACACGTAGTGTGCGAGGTTTAGGAGCTTTGAGTAACTTTAAGCACTACTGTATAAGTGGGTGAATCTGACTTGCATATGGCACTGATGAAAATTATTCTCAGCAGGATATATTACATATGTAGTATGTTTATGCTAATTAGTTTATTGCAGTTAGGAACATATGCTTAATGCATTTTCTTTCACAAACACAAATGATGTTTAAATTGTAGCAGAGAGAAAACTGTTCCTGACTATATATATATATATATATATATATATATATATATATACAGCATGCATTATAAAGTACCTCAGTAGGTTCCAATTCAGATTCATCCAATATTGTGATTGTAAATGAAACTTATGAACTCATAAACTTGTGTTGTTAAAAATACAGTTTTCACCCCCAGGTCCTTCATGTTTCAATGCCTCACATGCATAATTAGCTCTGGATTATGTGGGTATTAGTACTAAGCTTTCAGACCACCCCAAACCAGAGCAATAATGAGAAGCAGAAACTGGATTAAGACCCCGCTGTTCCTAGACTGTTTTTTTTTTTTTTTTAAACTAAAGAGATTATTTATTTAATTTATAGAATCTTTTGCCAATTATACTCAACTGAATATGGGATACTTGGGGCTGATTCAAAGGCTCTACATTTTTATTCATTTTTCATTTTAATTCAATGCACAACATCAGGGCTGGCGCCAAAACCATTATTTATACTAGCTGCATGTGCACTGTATTTTTCTGACTGGAATTTGAAATGAAAATGTATTTTAGTATACATTTTTATTTAATGAAGTTAGCTGAATTTTAGAGTCCTTTCTTTTTCACAAGAGGCCAGAACATTATTCTATTGAACATATAATGTGTGGTTACTTTCAACCTTAGCACTCAAGTGGCTAACTGTGTTTCCTTCAAATGTCTGTGCCATTTAACCAGTGTGTTATTAATCAGCTATAAACTTGACAGTAGCTGAACTGAAAGAGAAAACTGATGAAACTGTAAAGCATGGTGTTTGAATTCATATATGATGTATTTTTGTAGACCAAAACCTAGAAATGAGATAGCATTTTAGCACTTCCAGTTTTGTCATCCTGAATGGGTTTTTGGTTAAAGGGGTCCTATTATGCTCTTTTACAAAGTCTTGATTTTGTTTTGGGGGTGTACTAGAACATGCTCTCATGCTTGGTGGTTCGAAAAACGCATTATTTTTCACATAATTTACATTATTAAAATACCTTTCTCCCCAGCCTGGCACAAACGGCTCGATTAGTTCCAGCTTTGATGAAGGTCCGCCTTCCGAAAAACAAAATGTGTTGTGATTGGTTAGCTGTCCCAGTGCGTTGTGATTGGCGAACAGCTTAGACGGTGTTTCAGTACTGCCACGCCCCTTGCTCCGTCTTTCAACAAAAGCCTTTTGGCGAATCCGGCAGGCAGCCAGGCACTGTACTCCCTCATGTTGTGGAAGCTGTCCTCAGTAAAATGTGCAGCACACAATA